TTCTTTTGAAGTACACAGACGTCGTTACACCCTTAGTGAATGATCACATTTACATATTTCAACCTGCAATAACAAGCCATAAAATTATCAGTCTGTGACATGGCAAAATATAGGTGGAGGCAATCAGGGGATTTGCTGGCACCTTCCATGGGTCTAAATGACTCCCTCGCATGGGAAGCTGCCTCTACATAGATGACCAATCTGGATAATTCTGCCACAATATCTGAAAAATTCTGACAAAGCCAGAATTAGGGTTTGAATCCTGCTGGTAATTATAGTCATGAATGTGGAGACACAGAAAATCAGAGAAGAATGATCCCCTTGACTTTCAGTCTAGTGATTTACCTACCGTACCCACTCTGCTTCTAAGTAATGAGTTACTTAATGCTTGTCAAGTAATTATAAGCTGTAAATCACCAAATACAAGGCATCATTAATGTCCGTTTGAAACTGCACAGAGAAATTTTAGTAGGCAATGTATGAGTCCCCCAGTGAAGACAAGACTCCGTGTCTGTACATTTTCTTGTCTCCCTAAAAAAAAAAAAAAAAAAAAAAAAAAAATCAGGTATGGCAAGATGTTTTAATAACCTCAGATAGCTAGAACCTCAGTTTTGAGTATGACCTTAATTGCCTTAATACCATGCTGGGGGACAGTTTGATCAAATTATTTATTAATATGTGGATCACAAATGAGTCTGAAAGTCTGAGTCACCACTACCCTTTCCCCCAGCACCCTGCCATTTGAGATGGAATGGTGTGGCATTCTGAATAGAGGGCAAGATTACAATTTAGTCAAACTTCATATATGTACTCTGCAGTGCAGGCAATTAAAAAAAAAGAAACTTAGTTATTTCTATACTAAGTAACCCATAAATATCAAGGGCACTTGAAGGCAATGACATTGTTAAAATTAAGGGGTGTTAGGGTGTATTTATGATTGGGGTGAGGGAGTGGGACTTCTATTTAATTTACAAACAAATTAGAAAAAAATAAACAGACTCAGCATTGCTATCATAACTGGAAAGGCATGAGAAAATTTAATCCAACTTCCCTGATAACACTTGATTAATCTCAGACTTGGAGGAAAATCAAGATAAGATAGGAAGTCTCTATCTGTACCGAGGGCCGAGGAACTTGGGGTTTCCAGTGCCCACAAAGGGCATCACAAGACTCTTCCCAGAGGGGGATCCCTTGCACCGAGTTCCCTGTGTCTCTCTTGGCTCCAGCTCCAAGTCCATGAGAAATCTGTCCCATACCCATTCTTCTGAAGCTTCCAGCCTTTATCACCGGGACCTGGGCTGGAGTCCCACCCCCACCACAGCTCTGGAGACAGGTGACGAATAGGAGACCCAAATTTAAGTTGTAGCTCAACCTTTGACCACTAGAGGTCTCCTGGAAAGCAATGACCCGTATAACCCGGTTTATCCTCCTTCAAACCAATAGACTTGTTGCACTAAGACTTGGCGAGCCTGCTCTGCTCAAGGCCTTATTAATAACGCCACCCGCCCCCGCCGCTCATGATGGCGCCAGGCATAGAGGGGGATGGGACCAGGCAGTGGCTGACCCGCAGACAGTGCTGGTTCTTTACGAATCAGTCTGCAGCCTCCAGGGCCGCCCCTTCGAACCGCAATTCTTGACCTAGCAAAAACAGGACAGCGTGCCTAACTCGAGGTCCCCAGGTGGGCTGCATGGAGCCCCACGGACTTCCACCGATGAACTGGGCAAGGCACCCAGGTTCAGAATCACCTAGCATTAGATCTGCCAACAGGCCGGGATCCACTCGCCCCTCGCTTCGCCCCCCTAATTCCCCGCCCCTATTACCCCCCTTCACCGCCTCCGTTTTGCCTCGGGATCGCAAAAGTGACCCGAGCTTTAACCAGTGGAAGCAGATCAGGGAACCATTCACTGTCCCTATTCTCATCCATGTGGTATTTTCTGGAAAAATTAGCGACTTCTAGCTAGAAGAGGAAAGAAAGACGGGCGGAGGGGGTGCTGCTGAGGGGGAACAAGAAAGGAAACAGCCAGGTTGAATTCCCAGTCTTTATCAAGCAATTCGCTCACCAATGAGAGAAAGCTGCAGTGGCAGATTCGAGCCACATGCGGTAGTGTGTAGCAATTAGTAGATAAAATGCTGACTAAAGTGCTAAAACATGAAGTATTATTGTAGCCAAGGTCAAAAATGCTTCAGTTGTCTTTTGCAATTTGGCGGAGGGGAGGCCCAGAGGTACCCAGACAGGTTTGCATTTTCGAATTGGTAGCCTTCTTTCTTCAAACTGTACTTTGCCTTTTTTCTTTTCTTTTTTTATGATCCTGTTTATTATAGTCCAAGCTGCCTAATTATGTCACTGCTGGTTTTTGCAACTAACTTAATCCTCCTGATCCTTTATGAAGCGATTCACAGACACTGAATAATGTCTACTCTCTCCTGTCCCCTTGAGGGGCAAGAATGATTTTTTTTTAACCTTATAAATATATCCGTTTACTTAAAACAGAGATTTGGATTTTTGGCTAGCGAAGCATTAGGAATCTAGGTGTGTGGGTACAGGATCCTGTGTTTCAGTACAAGAAAGAACCCAGAAATAGCGGGTCATATAAACATATACCACTCTCCCTGCCACCTTTTATACACACCAAGTTCCAGCTACAAGCTTTCTTATAGATAAATAAAGCACTTGCTTTCATGATTATAACTGTCCTGAATGGATTGTCTTCTTACAACATTCAGTCTGTTTATGAGTATTTACTTTACATTAGCCCAGGGACCCTGCACTGCAGGACTTTGCCTCTATTCCCCTGGGTGTCGGTGTCTCAAGTCTTACATCTGCTCTGTGATTGATGGAGCCCTGAATCCACGTTATTACTCTCTCACAAGCAGAAATCAAACAGGCTATTAACTACATTACTTCAAAGAACTGTTTCAATACAATCTCCTTATCTTAATTGAAACTTTCTTTGTATGGATGTTTGCTACACAGATAATTTACAGGTGCCCATCAAACATCACATTTAAAAAGAGGTAAAATTGAGGGACTGGGGGGTGGGGGTAAACACTATTGTGATCTATAATTTTAAAAGATATTCACAGTATTATTTTGATTTATTAGATTTATTATATTCATGGGGGGTGGGGGCAGTGCTGTAAAAAGAGGGGGAAAGATACCCCTGTGAGCCGGTTTTGAAATTTAGCATTCATGTGATTACAAGGCTGCAGATATTCAAAAATATTCAGACCTAGATCCCTGCAATTGTTAACATTCAGAAACCTATCGGAGAGATAAGGCAGCAGGCATCCTAGTTCAGCGCCTACCTTAAAGAGCCGAAGAAACAAGGTTTCTAATTAGATGTTCACTACACTCTTACATCACCAAAGACAGTAGAAATTGCTTAGATGCTGTAAAGAGCTGTATAATTTTTTAAAAGAGAGATTTAATACACAATTGAGGGACACCCTCAGGCATTCTGTTGAGGTTTCCTGCATAAATGCTGCTGCATTGGTCATACAGGAAACTGACTCAGAGTTGATCTCAAATACGATCTTGTCAAAATACTGCAACTCAAGTTTTTTAATATAGGATTTCTTGAACTAGATGTATATATTTACGCTAACAGGACAGAGACTAACAGAAGCCTCAGGCATATCTATTTTTAAAAAAGATATGTAAAATGTCCCTCAGTCAAGTCCATTCATATGTTAAAAATGAACAAAATGGGTGATTCTAATCAAATGTCTGCAGTATGCATTATAAAGTTAAAGAGAGAGAAAGCGCAAGAGAGCTATAATTTCTCTTTGTAACCCATGTTTATAAAATAGGAAGATCAGATGAAATTTCAAGAGATAATTAAAGAGTGATGTGCAACTCATAATTTGGCTAATGTCAAAGATGGGAGGCTGTGAATTGTATTCCTCCATAGTGCAGAGTTGTGATATTACTTTAAATTATTAAAACAGTTTTCGACAGCTTTCAAAATACCGGTTCTTTGGCATGGGCTTTTATTATTTACTGTAATTGGAGGATCTGCCATTTTCTTTCGTTTATCTGTGTGTATAGAAACGAGATAGATCTTGCCTTTTATTACTTCCCCATGTTCTGAATCAAAAAAATGTGGTTTAGATAATGTTAAGTGCCCTAATTCTTACTGCAGCGGACACAGACGTTATGAAAAGGCATAAAAATACACACAGAGGGTCTTTCCACCTCAAGTCACTGAATATGAGGCATTTGTGCTCTGCCGGGTGTATTAACTTCAGCCATGTGAATATAATTTTCATTAAAGTAATCCTGTTTCAACTAGATGCTGTGACTAGAGGTGAAACGTTGCGAAAGCGTTAAAAATAGCTTACTAGTAATTTCAACATCCTGTAATTTTATCACAGATCAAGTTTCAACTGTCATACTATACAGACCTTATTCCCCATATAGTACATGTTTACTTTTTTAGCATGCCAGACCCACTTTGGAAAGATTGGTGCCAATATAATAAAAACTGGAGTGGGGGTGTGCTGGAAAGAGTGGGAGGAGAGCGGGGAAGGGAGTGGGGGAACGTGGGGGAAGCAAGTACACCATTTTAAATCAACACTGCGAAAATGCAATCTAGCCTGGCGGAGGACCGGCAGCTGGGTCGGAGCGAGCGAGGGCTTTGCAGTCTCTGCCTGTTCCTTGTTCTGTCGCTCTTAAGTTTCTCTGTGTTTGCATAATAGCCGTGCATGCAAACCTCGCAATGCTCCAGGGCTCCAGAACAATAAATATACACATTTAAAGCCTTTATTGTCTTACGGTTCATGCCCTCGGTTTTCAACAGCTTAATTTCTGGTTGTATTTAACTAGTTTGCAAATGGATTTTTTCAGTTTCAAACTATTATTGAGGAAGCTCCCCTCCCTTTTTTGGCGGGGGAGGGGATGGGGGTGGGGTAGGAGTCGGTATATTATTCCTGTAGCGCTGGGTTATATAAACACATTATCATTTGAGAGCGCCCTTGGCGTCCATCAGCATTGTAAACACGTACTAGTGTATATACTTCAAAATTAAAGAATGCACACGCAGAACCGGGAGCCTGAATTCATATTCTGAGCAGACTCGCTGCTCGTATTTATTGATTTATCATGCATCGTTTATTGTTCCAGTCCCTAAATGCAGTAGCTGTCCGTTCAATATTGTTTGCAAAATCCTAAGATGTGTGTGCACTGCTCACTTGTCTTTTTTTTTTTTTGCTGAGTATTTTTTTTGCGAAGCGAACAAATGCATTAATATTTATATGTTTATATAATCGATAACCCACTTTTCCCTTCCATGTAAATAGGCATCAAAAGATAATTTAACAGATTAGTTCTCGAAAACATGGCAGTGAGGAAGCGTAATTTAACTATCAAACAAATCTACATGTCTAATAACAGCAAATCTGCTAAGGAGCATTAGAAAGAGGAGCAGCGCCCCGGAATCTCTGCAGGAAATGTTCTTTATATTAGACATATACAAGCAGGTCCTGTCAGATGCACAGCGAAGCTCGCTAGCCCTCCTCTCCTCCAAAAATCTCATCAGACGATATCCCTAGACAGGGGCGGTTAGAGAGAGAGAAATCACATCTTCACACACTTTTTAGGGTGCTTTTTATTTTTACAAATTTTCCTATGTGTTTTTTGCCTTGATCCATCCTCTTCCCGCCGAGATCGTACGGCGTCTTTCTCTCGATTATGAATTTGATCAATCCATATTTGGAAGGAAACCCACATAGTTTTTTCAGGAGCTGAAAATTGAGTTGTTATAGAAATATTAGGACATATTTTCAATCATTTCGGTGCCCAAAGGGAGGCAAGAGCTCAGTTTTATATTGAGACATTACGCCGGCTGGAGGCAGAGAATGCGTTTCCCTGCCAGGACCTGATGCAATCCATTCAAGCCAACAAGTTTGGAGAGAATGTTGAGTTCAATCAATTCAGAACGTCGAGATGGAGCCCAACTCACTCCAGGTATTTCGCTCTCCTCCGCTCCTCCGATCCCGGCACCCCCCGGCACCCCCCAACCCCCCAGCTCACCCACACCTCTGCACCCACCCACACCCCCCACAAACTTTTCACCAAACTTTTACCCTCTGCATCCTCCCAAATCATTTTTATTGTTTAAAAAAATCCCTGCACTGATCATACATACATAATGTAATTTTACCGCCTCAGATGGGGAGGTGGGGAGAAGTGGCGGTGGGGGGCCCTGAGTTTTCTTTTTTTTTAAGGGAGGCAGAAAATTTGTGGGTGCTATTATTTTTCCACCCAGCGTTATATCTGTTGGATCGTCTGTATTAAGAGAGTGGATGTCTGTGTGTAAATGTGTCTGGGAATAGATGTTTGTGCTCTGATGGCTACATTATTTATTTGGTGTTTTTTCCCCCCTGCAGTGGGTCGGCTCACCGTGTGGCTTGCACGGACCTTACATTTTCTACAAGGCTTTTCAATTCCACCTTGAAGGCAAACCAAGAATTTTGTCCCTTGGCGACTTTTTCTTTGTAAGATGTACGCCAAAGGATCCGATTTGCATAGCGGAGCTCCAGCTGTTGTGGGAAGAGAGGACCAGCCGGCAACTTTTATCCAGCTCTAAACTTTATTTCCTCCCAGAAGACACTCCCCAGGGCAGAAATAGCGACCATGGCGAGGTGGTAAACCTGTCTGTCCCTCTCTTCTTTCTTTATTATTTTTCCCCCTAGTAATGCTTATTACAGGGCAAGCTTGAAAATACTGTATTCACTTCTGCAGGCGAGCAGAATCGACTCCTTTTTTAAAGGGGTAGCGCCACTAGCTGGGGCTCGAGTATTTTACCATTGTCAGAGTTTGGCTGTCAGCTTTACAAAGAGGATCCAACTGCTGATTTTAGTCAAGATCAAATAACTTGTTCGAGAAGGGTTTTGTTCAAGGATTGTGTGTGTGTGTGTGTGTGTGTGTGTGTGTGTTCATTTGCTGTCCTGCTATTGCCTCTTGAACATCACATGCTTTTTTATATTTTTTGCCTTTTGAAAATTTACCTTCGTGTCTCGCTCGGTCGTGTCTGGGTGGATTTCTTTCGGTGGGTTTCGATATTGTTCTCTTTTTTTTAAAGTAAGTATTTGATATGTTTAAGAGGGCGGAAATTACGAAATGGAGGCAGAATGAGATCAAAAGCTATTGAGTTGGCAAAGACGTGTTGAATAAAGTGATAAATGACAGGTACTGGAATAATACATTCAAATAACTTGCAGATCTGCCCGGGCGGATTTCAAAGCGGTGGTGTAACAGGCACAAACACGTTAAGCATTAACAACTATCTCTAGCCCACTCCCCCTCCCCGCGGACAAGCCATTTGATGTTCTAGTTTGCAATTACTCCACGCAAAGTGGACGTCTTCCTGCGCGATCTTTGGGGGTGTGTGGGACGGGGCCGGGGGAGGGGAGGGCAGAGGGGTGTGTGCTCGCCCACTGGCCCCGCGGGTCCGGCGTTCTCCGTGCCCAGACGGCGCTCCCGGGGAGGGCGGGGAGGGACAGAGCGTCCCCGGCACGTTTCTGGGCGGCCGCGGGGGCGCTCGCCTCGCTCCCGGGAGGACGCCGGAGGTGAGCCCGCTGTCACCGGGCGCCGGGGCGGCCGCCTCCCTTCGGCTCTGTCATTGCATGTGTGACCGCAGTTCTGCGGGCTCCCCTCGTCAGCTGACCGACCTCAGCGCCGTGGTACCTACCGGGGGAACTATTTTGGGGCGTCTGTGCCCACGGCGCAGCGGGGAGGGAGGGCGCACGGCCGCCTGGCGAGGCTTTGTGTTGCCAGAGCGAGAGCAGGGCAATCAAACAGACTTTTGAGGGCAGCTAGTGCTGTGCCAGGCTCTCGAGCTTTCGAGGTAGGTGTAAGGATCTAAGGATCTAAGGCTCTTTTTGTTAAATGAATGGTTTCCCGTTTAACTCATCCGGGGGCTCGGAGCTGCCAGTCCTTCCAGAATTCCTTGGTCTGATGGAGTTGACAGTACTTTTGGCATCGCCTGTTCACTCCCTCTCCCCAGGATCGAATTACCCGTCAGTGGTCTACGCCGGTTAATTACTGGACTTCGTCGAAACGTTCGCCCTCGAATCTGCCTTTTCGGAAATAAGCCCCTCCCACCTCCCCGCTCACCTCCCCCCTCCGCCCTCCCCCGTCAGCTTTGCTTTTTAAATGTTCATATTTCCCGACGTCCGCCTGCAATTTTAAAAAGGTGTTGTTTGGAAATACTGTGAAAAATCCTGCAACCTACCAACAGGTTGAGCTCTTTCCCCCTCCCAAGGTCTGGCTCGGCCTCCTCCCCCGACCCAACTTTCCTGCGCAGCTGTCTTCCTCCGCCTCCCCCTCCTGATTTCTTATTATTTGCTTTTCAAATTTATTACTTCAACATGGCCTGTGATCTGGAAAAGGGAAGGATTAAATATCCAGAAAAGAACTAGTGCCTAATAGACATCTGACTAAGTCCAGGAGGAAATTATTCAGTGTTTTATGGGATATTTTGTGGTCACTCCTTTTTTTTTTTTTTTTTTGGCGGGGCCGGTGGGGGGATATTGGGGGGGCGGGATTGAAATTGGGTTATTTTTTAAAGACCCCAAGTTGACCCCACTTGGCCCAGTTTTAATTTCTGTTGGTGTAATTAAATGGTGAATTCTGATTTGAGAATAAAGGCTATATTTGCCAAACGTTGCATCTGCGAGAAGTGTTGACAGTGAATAGATATATTTTTAAATACACGATTTCTTTTTATTGTTCATTATGGGGAATTGAAAGGGAACCATTGTAATGCTCTGTGCATTTGTCACTGCTATATGAGCCATACCTGAGAAAATTAATCTTGCCATTTAAAAGTAAACTCTAGGGGGTTTGTGGAGGGAGATGGCTCTATTTATAATCCTCAGCTGCATATACATCCTCTAATATTATGCATGATTTGTTTTTTAATGCTAACACGGCTGGTAATTAGCTGTATGATTATACTTGTATATTTCATTAGGACTTCGGCTGATGTCATTGTGAATTATTCAGCCATATTAAAACAATTTTCAATTGAGATAATGACACGCCTCAAAATTATGCAAATGCAGGCTGCATTGTGCAAAATAATTATGACAAATGTAAAGCAGGTAGAAAGTTTCCCAATGCAGATCGGTTTTCCACCCTGGTGATGTCATTTCCCCACTGGCCTAAGTTAGTCATTCATTAGCAGAATAGCAGCAGCAGTCTCCTGGAGGAGAGCTTTACAGAAACCAGCATTTACTGCTGGCACCTAGAGGGGGCAACAGGGCCCTCTCATTAAGAAATTTGCTTTGTTTTCACTTACTCCATTAACTTGTTTATATATATTTAAATGGTTTTTAATATTGATTTTAAATAGTTTTGAATGATACATTTGCCATTTGCAATATGTAACTGAAAGAGAAAGATTTCTTGGTGATTTACACTGTGACTTGGAGAAAATGTTCAGCACATTTAATCAGCCAGTACAGTTTATTTTAAGTAACCAAATGGAGGTTAATAATTTCTTGATTGAGCTGACATCAGCATCCATTTCCAAAGGACAGTTAGGACTCAGTATGCTTTTTTTGGTTTAAGAGAATCATTCTGCCTTTTTATGATTTCTTGAAATGTAAAGACGTCAGTTCTAAAAGCAGAAAAATGATCATTGTGCAAGATTAGAAATAGCGTCCCTGTGTGGTTTGCTGTGATTTGCAGACGGTTTTTTGTTTTTGTTTTTGGGAACATTTTTTCATTATTTTTATAATTATTGTTGGAGGCTGGGTAAGGCAGGACTTTGTACACCCATTTTACAGATAGGGGCATAGACTTGGAAAGGTCATGTGATTTGTCAAAGGTCACCAGGCTAGAACCCAGGTCTCCTTGAACTTCAAGATTCTCTTTCCTCCCCAGTGAAACCTACCCTTGAAAACAGAGCTTGAACACATCATATTATATTCTAGCAGTAAATACTAATGTGGACAGTCCCTCAGACATTTTAGAATTGTAACTAGTTAATCAGCTTTGCCAAAGGCCACCAGATGTCTACGTAGTAAAACCATCCTTATCCTACAAAGTTCAGCTAATTCTAATCAGTGATATATGATACCAGTTATATTTTAATAGTTATTAATAATCATTAACTATTTACTATTCATTTTAATAATGATGGTGTTGATTTATATGCTTATAAACACCGATGCCTTCATATGTAATATTTCCAGTGTTGGCAACTGGAGTTTAGGAAAAGCATTCAAGAAAAGTCACATTTTGATTCCGCAACTTGCTATTTGCTTAATCTTGAACAACCATAAGTACTTGGAGCCTCAGTTTCTTCAACTGCAAAATGGCAACAAAGTAGGGATAACTATAGATTGCTGATGAAGATCAAGAGGATGTATAGACAAAATAACTTTATATACTGTAAAGTGCTTAAATAAAAAGAATTACGATTATGGTGAACTTTGCTCTTAATCTTCTTAACTTTATAAATAACAAAATAATAACTTTCATGTCCCTGTGGAGGTTTGTGGACCTAAAAATGATACTGTCTTAAATTACCATGAAAATGAATAGCAGGGCCATGTGCAAGGAGTTAAGTGTCTTTAGCGATTACTGACAATTGCCACATTCAGCCAGTAGCTCTTCAGAGGAGGAAAATGGCAAAGTAGCCAGGTAATTGGTTCTGTTACTGGATAACTTCTGATTACATTCATTTTCAAGTTGCCAAGTGCTTAATCTATTGGCAGTATACCCTCTTAATATGGTTGGATATGCGAGCTTGGATTTCAGCCTGATCAGCCATCACTGGGGTTTTACAAGAATCCCAGCTGTGGTTGGTCACTTCCAATGGTGAATGTGGATGGCTGAGCTAACGATGTCCAGGTGTCAAGATCAGGCATTCCTGGATAGTACAGATTCTAACCTGCATTCAGGATTTCTAAAAGTGGTTTGGTTATCACCAGCCTTACTACTGAGTTAAAAAAAAATAGTAAAAATGCACATTCTGGGACCCCTGTTGAAATCTACTCTATTAGAATCTCTGGAGTTGGGCCTAGGAGTCTGAATTTTGAATATTTTAACAGTCTCTGTCTAGCTGTGTGATCTTGGACAAGTTCTAAACTCTCTGTGCCTCAGTTTTCTCATCTGTGAAGTGGAAATACAGTCCTCATTTCCTAGGATTATTTTAAGGATTATATAAGTTAATATATGTAAAATGCGTATACCCGAGGCTGACACATAGTAGATACTTCAATAACGGTTGACTGCTGTTATTATCGTTAATGTATTAGCATTTTTCTCGCTGAAGTTTGAAACCACTACCATAGAGCTTGCTGAAGAAGGCTTTCTGTGTGAGGGAATGGCACCTAGGTTACTTTGCTAGGACATGTGGGCATCCAAGTCCTACCAAATCAGGCTACCTGTCATCTCTACGTCAGCTTTATCTGTGTCACCAAAATATAAAGTGTCTTAAGGATATACATTGCACTGCAGAAGTAAGCTTTCAACTGGATCAGCAGGATTCTTTTTTTTTTTTTTTTTCCAAAAGATTGCCTGATTTGATCATATCTGGAGTTAGACAGACTCATTCTGGAATCTAGAAGGTGCTGGATTGGCCTTTCTTCTTTTTGTATAGCTCCTCAGTCTTGGACTATAGCCATAAGGT